CAATACCTCCCTCTGAGAAAATATGTAAGTTATGGGATGACCGCTGCATCTCACACAATACACATATGACGGGTGTCAAAGACAGGCTGTCGTGTCGCGATTCCCACCAGAAGCAGATATAGTGTAGAACAATTAAAATATTGTTACAATTAAAAGGCCCCACTACTATATGTACTATATGAAGTGTATATGTAATAACGTCTTAAAAATATGTGTATTCCAAACAGTACTAAATGTCTTGTTATTGAATGTTTGAAGTGTATTAATTACTAGCAGCATTATGTATGTAAAGGTTTTTAGTGTGGATTAGCATGTCCTTATTGTAAATTTTTGTTAGGTCATATCCTTTTTGTAAAAAATGTGCTACTGTAGAATCAATTAACCGTTGTATTTCTTTTACTTCAATATAGCTGTGAGATTATGTTAATAAGAAAGGCTCATTTCGATAATCAGCAACGTTATTCTTCCAACATGTACAGTTACTGATTTTTAATGTTTATTTATTAATTTATAAGATTATTTTTGTAAAACTTGTTGCAATGTTTTTGTTGTTTGGTGTCTGCATGTTTGCCGACCTTAAATTCTAATCAGAAAATAATGCAGCGGGTTTGATTTTGAAGGCTGCCTTTCGTTTATTGGGGTCTCCATGAATTTTGAGAGGTACCTCTAAAGCCGATTTAGCATAACTCAAATATATCAGTTTGGATTTTCGTAATTTGTGGACGGGGTTAAAAGAAATGTTTCAAACACCGTTTTTAGTTGCACAAAGTTATCAATATCTATGATAGAATATTTCTACAGTCTTACAAGAGCTGTTCTGGCTACGCATCTTACAAAGAAGTTTATGTAAAAACATTGCTATTGTTTTTAAGCTTTTACAGAATATGCGCCAGGTTTCCTCGTAGAAATTATTCATCAGCGCAAACAATATAGGCCAACTAGAAACTCTTTCATTTTATACTTAACCTGTCCTAAAAAAAGAGAGACATTGTAACACATTTTATGAGGATAAGGCTTTTACTATTCATGCCCCAACATAACGGAACTTTTTTATGTTGGAGCTGAGAGTGATGTCGACAGATTTTTGGTCTCTCTAAAAATTCATCTTTTTCAAATTTTATTTGTGATGGTTAATGTGTTTAAACCTTTAAACTACGTTTGTGTCATTTTGTATTGTAATTTTTCACAGGTATTTGCTCTTTGTTTTCCAACGTTTTGGAACTCTTTATATTAGACGTGACGGTGATTATGACAGATTTTAAGTCTCTAAAAATTGATCATTTTCAAAGTCTTTTAATGAGTAATGTCTATGAACCTTTAAACTTAGTTTGTGTCATTTTGTTTTGTAATTATATTGTGTTGTGTCTTTTTTATATTGTATTGTGAGCTAAAAGTGAAAATGACAGTTTTAGTCTGTCTCTAAAAATTGATAATTATCTAAGTCTTTTTACGATTAATGTCTTTAAACGTTTGTACTTAATTTGTGCCATTTTTTGGACTGTAATTTTTAAGAATTTTATATTATATACCGGTGACCTGCATTGACATGTATTATATTGGAATGCACTTTATAAGAAATAAATAAGATGTTTATCATTATTATTATCATTATCATTATCGTGGGATAATGGCAGGATTCACATGGAGATGGTGTCATAGACACAGTTTTGACTTCATACTGACAGTGAGTTTTCTGCGTTTAGTTCTGCATTTATCTTGAACAATAGGCAGGTGATCGAACGAAAGAACTGAGCATTTTGTAAAAAACGCTTGGTGAGAACATTATTCAATATATAAGTACTTATTTTCAATCTCTAGATTAGTGATCGATCGATTGGTTGGTTGGTCGATTCGTAGATTGATAAATTTATTTATTGATTCTTTTATTGATAAACAATTCATGAAATTTGACGTCTATGAATATCCGTAGGTGCCCCCAAGTGTTTGCCGTCTTTTTAAATTGTCCGTGCTGGCCTCATAAGCAGCCCTCAGTCTAAACCGATAACCGGATGGACGCGCACCGTTTGCGTCTTCCTCGTATTTCAAGGACCCAAGAACAATCCACTTGCTTTGTTTGGTTAAATATCTGTCTAATGAGCAAGTTGATCCTATAAATATTTCTGCTGGAATCTTCGGATTCCCTGTGTTCCCTTTGTTTTTCAACACACAAGACACGTCGAACTTGTAACCGTATAAAGTAAACACCATAGACCGGCTGTTGTTAGCGACGACAGCGTCCGACGCGTTCGCTGTGGAGTTTAGAAAGCGGAGGCTGGTGCATCCAGTTCCATTTGGGTAACACCCAATATTGGCCACTACTGTCTCATTCCGTATACTGGTTTTAGACACTTGTCTCAATTAGATTGTCATCAGTTAAAAGTAAAACATTTGTTTTCTGTGGCCACGTCGTTTAAAGTCAACTCCATGGGATTTTCCCGAGGAAATAAACAATTTTCTGATACCCGTGATTCATTTATCTATCCTTCTCTGAACTTGGATTCTGCCGTTAATTGAATTAGTTTTAAATGGTTGGCCAATCATTATAACAGTGACCATCGCCTTATATGCTCCTATGTAAATATCAACATCAAGTACGACCCAGAAAGAAGTATTTAAGGGGTTAAATCGTTTTTAAGGTGTAAGGTTCTAATAAGGTGCTCTAGGTGGCAAAAATAAGCATATGGGGAATTTTCAGACCAATGGAGTGTACCTTTAATTTATAATTTCAAAAGAACAAATGAGAAAAAATCTTTGAAAGTGTAAGAAGCAAAAAGAGACTGCAGGCAATTTTCTATAAAAAAAGTAAATCTTTGTGACCCCCCCCCCCCCCCCCAGCAAAATACATGTATCTCTGCCAGTCAATATACGTACCACTTGACCTGGCTCCACTTGTCACACATCTGCAGCATGGAAAATCCGCACTCTGTTAAATCTCACAAACGGGAATTCCCTGGCTATATTTGCATGATCTATTATTAGTAACAGGAAAAATCCCCACTGTGATTACCAATTATGTAATAAAACGGCGTCACCTGACAAATTTATAACTGTACAGTCAACTAAGTCACCCAGATCAGTGTGAGGTTTCTCATTTAGACAGTAAATTATTAATGACAATCGAAACTATTTACACTGGGGATCGAAGGGCTGTCCATAGTGAGTGACGGGCCTAGACAAGAAGACGCCAGACATCGGGACATGCAAGGGGTAAGAGATGGCCTTTACCAAGGTCACAGATTGATTTTTCACTTGTGTTCACAGATATGCTGGTTAATTTCTGACACTTTTCTCTACTGTTCCGTTAGAGAAACTGTACATGAAATGCACATATTAGAGGGTAGGTAAGAGATGGCATACGGAAGTTTCTCGTGTTCTGCCAGTCACAGATCACCTTCTAGTATTTGAAGCTCAGGAAGCTGTGCAAATCCCGTACACATTTGATTTAGGTGTTCGGTTTTTAAATAGTTAAATTTGTTGAATTAGTCAACACTGATTTTGCTTAACAATCAAGATATTTAAAATATTATGTTTTTGTAGACATTTCATCTACTTCATTCATCAGTGATTTATCAGTAGACGACAAGTAAAATGTAACATGATGCCAGACAATGCAGGGGCGGATCCAGGATTATTTGAAGGGGGGTCTGCAGACGCGAAATCGATCCCCCCCCCCCCCCCCCCCCCTTTGGTTTTTTACAGGGTAAACGGTACCATATGGTACGGTTTAGAACTATGATTCAGCTAGTCAAAACTCTAATTTAAAGAGGGGACTATTGGTGTGATTTTTTTTCAGAAATTGCAGGGGAGGGTCAGGACCCCCCTGACCCCCCCCCCCCCTTAATTCGCCACTGCAGTGTGACAATTTGGTAAACGAGCTCGACCCACGTTACTTAGAGAAAATGAAAAAAAAATGCACTTTTGTTTAAATGCAAATAAAACATGCACTGGGTATTGTTTTGGTTAATACACTTTGCATAGTAACTGATCTCAGAAAAAAAAAAAACTCAATTAGTGCTACTGGACTTACGTTTTCAGATGACCCTAAAGCCCCCTTTACAGTAGACGGCGTCCAGCAGCACGGCCCCATTTGAGAGTTAAAAAAATTATAACATTTTACGTGCCCACAACTGGCCGATCATTGAGCATTCATTCTGATACAAAATCAATGCTCGTACTTCCTTATTAAGACCACAGCGATGCCAAATTTCATGGTCGCAGAGAGGACGCAGAAAGGAGGCCGTCCAGTGTAAAGGGGGTATAACTGATCAGTGGATTTGACATTTCCATTCCCATCCTCACCTCCATAAAAAAACTGGCTGAACCTAAAATCCATGCTTCTTAAACATATTTTAAAAAAACGGCCGACATTTCGTCTATAGATCTTATCTCTCGTTAATCAACTTATAAATTCGTTTGGCCTTAGCAAGGATCCTATGTAGACAATAGGCGTAAGTGAAAAGTGCGCTGTGCCGCACGTCCCGTTATCTCCAGCTCTGATTGTCCATTTAATTTAACCTTTAACCAACAATTTCGAGATTAAACATTCATCCGAGAAAATCAGATAACATTTGTGCCTAACAGGAAGCATATATACATTTACTGTACAGGTGAGTAGGAGGATTAGCAAAGTGAAAGTGTGGGGGTTGCTGTTCGCGAAAATTTTCTTTTGAGTTTAACAGAATATTTTATGACTGACTTAATTATACATTAAGACAGGAACCGTCACCCCCCCCCCCCCCCCCCCCCCCACACACACACCCCCCCCCCCCCCCCCCCCCTCCCCTAAAAATTTGAGAACTGTCAGAGAACNAGGGTTTATAGGCAGCTATGAGGAGGCACACACACACACCCTCCATCCCCACCCCACCCCACCCATCTCACCCTCATCCTCCTCGGAACCAGTCCCCGACCTCGTTTCTTCTTGGGATATCAAAATGACGCCAACGCCACCTTAATTCGGAACATTTCTTTGCCGTTGGTGCCGTGGGAGGACAGGATGAATTTAGGGTTGTCACATGACAATTTATATAGGCTCATATTGAGTGACAAACAACAGTGCCACATATTACGTTTCCTATCACTTACATTGTAGGGGAGAGGAAGACCGATGCCCACGCCAAAAGTGAAACCACCGAGATTAAGGCAACACAGTCACCATGTGTTTTTCGCCCATCACGAGGAGGAGGACTACCTCATTACGCCCGTCGTTGACGTCCTGGAAAAAATTGGCTTCACATGTAACCACTCCGGGGCCTGCGTCCCCGGCGGGTGGGTCGTCGAGTTTAATCACGCATCCATCGAGCAGGCCAAAAGAGTCGTCTTCTGCCTGAGTCCCGACTTTTGGGGAAACCCATTGTGCCTGAACCTGTTGCAGCACGCTCTGTGCGTTAGGAACCTGAAAAACCTGAGGAGTATTCAAGTGGAACGTTGCAAAGTTCCAGAAAACTGAAAAAAACTTCAGGCTGATCTAGGCAACATTTACCGTGACCCTACTGGTACTGTCCAGAGATTGGTATGGTTTTTGAGGAAGCCTAGTAAAGGTACGCCTGTTGCTTTGTGCCCCTCTTCATTTTAAGTAACATGAAACAGGTATGTTCTAAACAGCGAGATGTAGATTTTCACCCTTTTACTGACAACCATGAATCCTACCATAATGCAAAAGGACGGCACTTTTATCTTCATTCCATCTAATTCCAGAGAGGTCTGTTTTGTACTTAATATTGGACATGATAACGAATTATTATCGTTATTATGTCCAAGACTTAATTTAAGAAATTAAAGACGGTATGACGTTTGCAGAATTTTAGGAGAGAGACTACAATGGTAGAAGCATGGTGGCGCTCCTTATCTATGCATGTCAACTGCCCTTCGGCCCCCCCCCCCCCCCATATACTCCTGTGTTATATCACTATTGTTTTGGTTTTTACGTATAGAGAGAACACCTTGAGCATAGACCTATCAATAAGCCCATTACCATTGGCGGGTCCAGGTGTATTATCTGACAGTCTTCCAAATTATCTTTGTTGATATATCTTCTATTTTTGACCGTCTTCCAACAGAAAAAGTTAGATACCTATCAATGTAAACTTTAAAATCTGACCGTCTTTTGGAAGACCCTAAATCCGCCCAGCATTAGGGACACAACTCTCCCAATCAATTTGATACATGAACTAGGTCATAATGATATTACTGTCGAAGTGAATCGATAAGGGTGTGTTATTTTGTCCCTTAGGTCCGTTGCTATGGAGACAGACCAGAAGAGCCGTGAGAAGCACGGCGAAACGTGCTATCTGTAAGTATGATAAACAAAATTGTGACCGATAATTTGACATTGTATTTGTATTTCATCAGTTTGTGTGCGCTCGGGTCAGTTTTTGTGAAAAGTGTTTTAGTTTTACATCATACCTCCGGGGAGTAGCCGTTTGATTGTCACTGTGTAATTTCTCTGTGGCACTTAAATTGCACATTAGAATAAGCTGCCATGATGAGCTATTGCGGTTAAAACGGGGAATTACAAGCACCAGCATGACGAACGTGTTTATCGCCAAGGCGTTTTTTTTTTTCTCAGTAAAAACGTAAAATATTGTCTGTCAAAGCCGAACCGATTTCTGTACTTGATTTAGGCCCTACATGTAAGAGATTCTGGGCTTGATAAGACGATCAGATTATGTCCTGTAGTGCCCTTGTCTGGACACATGAACCTATAAGCACGTGAAATTCTGCTGAAATTAAAAACAGACTTTTTTAATATAGTACGTTTTCTATGATAAACCGGCTTAAAGTCACTTGCCACGTTTCAATATTTAAACAGGATAATTAAAAGAAGACTCAAATACAAGAATGCTTTATGGTCTCTATTCTGATTTTGAAAAATCGCCCATTTTGACCTTTGGCCTATTCAGACATTTTTTTGTCTGAATGTTCAGCCTTTCTCCTCTCTATCCTTTGTTTGCGTGTTAAAACATTATTCATAAGATAGAAAAATATTTTAAACTTGAGACATTTAAGTATTTTTTTTTCTGATGTGGTGGATAAATAGGTATCAAATAAATACTGTTATATTGCAATCAATGATGCTGTTAAGAATCCATATTTGCTTCTTAAATCTACTTCATTTTCGAAATTACACTTCTCAAGGCAGCGACATGAGGAAGCACGGCGCCGCCAGCCAACTTTCCAGAAGCATCGAAATGGCGTCCTACTCCAAGGTAGCGGAACTCAAAGTCACATGCCCTCATTCACCATGCGTGTTCAGTGGCACTGTCAGGGAGATGGTTATCCACGAGAGTGTTTGCGATCACGTGCAGATATCATGCCCTCACCCTCAGTGTAGCCAGAGTGGACCCAGAGCAGCTCTCCGTGAACATATCAAAACATGCCCGTTAAAAACACAACACCAGACGCCAACGACCAACAGACGAGAGAGTAAAGCAGGAAAGAGTTTGGTGAAGTGGATCACGTCGCTTTTCAAAGCTAAGCCCGTCAAAGAAAACGACCTTCCCTTCAAAGCCAACCAGCAGTGTCCTGATTTCGTCCCCGTAGTCTGCACCAACCCGGGATGCAAGGAGCTGGTCCTACCCAGCCAGTTGGAGAGACACCTCTCCGTGTGCAAGTTTGCCACGGTCACGTGTCCGTACAAGTCTCTGGTCTGTCCCCATGATCTCCTTCATCGCTGGGAGCTGGTGGAGCACGTGGAGAGGTGTGAGTATGCCTCGTACCACTGCATCTGTGGGGAGACGATTCTGAGGAAGAGTATCAAGAACCACGAGCCCCTTTGCTCTGCCAGGTATACCACGTGCCCAGCGTGCAGTAGCAGAGTGGAAAGGTACGTGGACTGCACTTGCTTCTCAAAAATATGATGCTTCTAAGAAATATGTGTTGATCCAAGTAAAGTTTATGTTGTGTTCTGAAAGGTAGTTATTTATTGGCACGAAACTGTACCCCCCTTACCTTGTGAAAGTCCCATGATCAATTCTCATGTACACTGCATACATCAACATTTTTGCATTAAGGCATTGAAGAAGACCTGTTCACCTCTATTGCAGACATGACATTCGACATCACAAACGGTTCCAGTGCCCCAAGACCCCGGTGTTTTGCGAGCACTGTTGCTCGTGGGTCACTGCAGGAAAATACCAGGAACACATACGAACGCAGCAAGTAGTCTCAGAAAACAAGGTAAGTTTACAACGTGTAAATCTACAGAAGAGAGAAGCTCCTTAAAGGTAGAAAACAGTTCTACTTAAAGCAGTCTACTTTGTCGATGAATAAAACAATTTTTTAACAATTATTATGAAACAATCAATTGCAAAACATATAAGGTTAAAGTGATTTTTGATCATGGATGTAAGTCTAGTTGTTGTGATTTTTTCTTTCAGCAATCATGTATATCTGAAGAAGACATCGGTGTTGAATATAACGGACCATCTGCAGGTATGTTGGGCCTAGGTTTCTAGTAATATTTTGATAAACAAGAGAGCTAATGATTGATTAACATCCCATCGTGCAGTCTGTTCCCAAGCAAGCGTTTAATTCGAAACGGCCTTAGTCTTCCAAGGATACTACAGTCAGCAAGATACAACTTTGTTTATATATAGAACTGAGCCCTTTTTTCTTTCAGACAAAATTCACCAACTCGTCGGAAGTTTTAAGTCCGAAGCTGCCATAAGGGAGGGTCGTTTCTTCGACAGCGGATCATATGTTCCCTGGTCTGAATTAGAAGAATCTCTAAGCATTCAGAATTGGAAGAAGTCACCAACAAAACAAGTGAGACGAGGCAATTATACTGGGACACCATCAGTAAAGACGGGACACATTAGAACACCATCAACAAAGACGGGACTGACTGGAACACCACCAGTAAAGACAGGACACATTAGAACACCATCAACAAAGACGGGACTGACTGGGACACCATCAGTAAAGACAGGACACATTAGAACACCATCAACAAAGACGGGACTGACTGGAGCACCATCAGTAAAGACAGGACACATTAGAACACCATCAACAAAGACGGGACTGACTGGGACACCATCAGTAAAGACAGAACCGACGGGGACACCACGAGTAAATACGGGACTGAGTGGGACACAACCATTTAGTACAGAATCGACTGGGACACAACCAGCTAAGGCAGAACCGACTAGGACACCACGAGTAAAGACGGGACTGAATGGGACACAACCATTTAGTACAGAATCGACTGGAACACAACCAGCTAAGACAGAACCGACTAGGATACCACCAGTTAGGACAGAATCGAGTGGGACACAACCAGCTATAGCAGAACCGACTGGGACACCACGAGTAAAGACGGGACTGAGTGGGACATCACCATTTAGTACAGAATTGACTGGGACACAACCAGCTAAGGCAGAACCGACTAGGACACCACGAGTAAAGACGGGACTGAATGGGACACAACCATTTAGTACAGAATCGACTGGAACACAACCAGCTAAGACAGAACCGACTAGGATACCACCAGTTAGGACAGAATCGAGTGGGACACAACCAGCTATAGCAGAACCGACTGGGACACCACGAGTAAAGACGGGACTGAGTGGGACATCACCATTTAGTACAGAATTGACTGGGACACAACCAGCTAAGGCAGAACCGACTAGGACACCACGAGTAAAGACGGGACTGAATGGGACACAACCATTTAGTACAGAATCGACTGGAACACAACCAGCTAAGACAGAACCGACTAGGATACCACCAGTTAGGACAGAATCGAGTGGGACACAACCAGCTATAGCAGAACCGACTGGGACACCACGAGTAAAGACGGGACTGAGTGGGACATCACCATTTAGTACAGAATTGACTGGGACACAACCAGCTAAGGCAGAACCGACTGAGACACCACGAGTAAATACGGGACTGAGTGGGACACAACCATTTAGTACAGAATCGACTGGGACACAACCAGCTAAGGCAGAACCGAATGGGACACCACGAGTAAAGACGGGACTGAGTGGGACACCACCAATAAAGACGGGATCGAATGGGACACCACCAGTAAGGGCAAGATTGCAGACTGAAGTGACCCGAAAAGCAACATCAGGTCTTGCTGTTGACGATAAACAACGTGAAAAACAAGTGGACAGCAATACTTTTGAAACGAAATCTACCACACTAGAGGGCACATTTGGCGAACCAGGTTAGAGCAAATCTCAACTGGTGTTTTTGTTAGAAAAAATATTGTGTATCTGTGGACTGAACAGTATGAAGAGAATGAGTTAACATGTAATAAGGCAGCTCATTTCTCGTCATTAATTAATTCATTAATCAAAATTGATTGTTTAATCAATTAACGGATTGGCACCAAAATCTAATTGATTCGAGTATATATGCAAGACCATTAATGGCCCGGGTAAAAAAATATGCATCAAATTTCCCTCAGTAGCTTTTTGTCTGTATATTAACAAACGAAGGCCCAAAATTAAATTCCTGGCGGAGGTCAATATAGTTTTATGTTTGAGTTTAATATTACAGTTCTTGCACAGTCACAAAATGCGACAGGGACGTGAACTATAAGGGTCTTAGGTTTTGCGAAAAAAAAAAACACGATTATTTGCTTTCTAGGTGGTAAGAACAAGCAAGGCCGTGCCACCAAAGAGAACCTCCTTCGAGGTGATAGTGAACAAAGTCGTGGAGTTAACGAGGCAGTTACTTTAGGAATGCGCCGTCCGGTCAGCGAGAATACCCAGCAAAAGAATGGTAATGTTGCCTTAAACTGGGTTCCCATCGGTCCATCCCCACGGGGTCCCTCGCTAAATTGCGTTCAGCCCAAGCGGCTTTGACGTCTGGGACGCCCGCTAAAGCTACTAAACGATAGTATGTTACCCCCCTATCAGCCTCAGCAGGCGTGACAGACATCTAAGCCGCCTAAGTTAAGTGCAGATAAGCGAGAATCCCGTCGGAGATAGTTCGATCCCAAGTTAGTACGATAGTATCCGCGTATGGTCTCTTAGACACACTGTATGTTTGAATGTATAATGGTAGCATAAAGTTGGTTTGATTATAGTCATTGGCCGCATTCAGAAGAAGTTGATCTGCGGACTGACAGGGGTAAGCTTTATAGTGAATCGGCCATATTTGATCCTCGGATCTGTTAGTACGCGGATCAACTATTTTGGTTTTGAATGCAGTCATTCTATTCTAATCGTGAGAATACATATGCAGTTCATGGCGCACAGGGACTTTTATCTGCAAATTTGATTGAAATACCTTCTTGTTGAACATTAAAATTCACTTGAGTTTATATTGGCTGTCTCTTTTACAGGTGATAAATGATATGAACTTTTTGAATTCATTTTGTTATTTCTTTTTTTAGCTATTTCGTAAGCAGTCTATTTGTTTATATAAAATCTGTATCAGTTGCCTATGCACACTTGATGAATTTTCAGATGAGTCTAGCAGATCAATGTGGACCTTTATAAAGGCCTTTTTGAAGTGGAAACCAAGGCCTAAAGTGGTGGAGTTGTGCCCCTTTAATTTGGAAGATCTCGTCCATCGCCTTTGTGTTGAAAGCTTGACTACCGAAAAAGAGAAGACGGATTTCAGAGACTATGCTAGACAACTCGCCGTCTACAAACAGTCGCCGAACAACGCCCTCTATCGTGCCATTGAGGTCTGGAATAGTGGGTTATTCGGGATAATTCAGGAGGTTGCCAAGTCTTTCCATGCAGGATGCATTACATCAGACAGAGACTGTCTTTCTATCATCCGTGATAAGTACTATGATAAGTTGAAAAGGTCACGAAATACGGAAAGAAACGGCCCTGGTGCCCTTCCAGCCAACATGACCGGTCCTCCGCCGCGCAAGATTGCTGAAGCATTGTTCTTTAAAACGCTGTGATAAGTTGAAAGTGGTCGTAAATCTACGGCTGTTACAATCAAAGTCAAGCGTCTAATGACATTACATATATTTTAAAAGAGCAGCGTGTTTTTTTCATAATTATTATTGAAAGCTGCCCTCTATAAACCAAGGACATCCTTGCATTAACCGAGCTCTCCGAAAATGTCATGGATTTTGAGAACCACCGGAATTCAATTCAGCATCACTCTTTACGGTTATAGTTGGACCATCGTAATTTGAGGACGTGACGGATAAGAACTGCTTTTATTTCCTGTAAGGTCAACAGAACAGAGGGTTCATAATTATTAAGCACATTACACATTGTATACTGTATACAGACATGACTTCTGTCAGCCAGAGTTTCTTGTGCCTGGTTTTGCATTTCGACAAGAGGCAAGTGATCGAACCCAAGTACTGAATGTTCTACGATACCACGATTTTTTTTTTTTTTTTTTTTTTTTTTTTTTTTTTTTTTTTGCTGAGAATAATTATTTTTAATATAATAGTGCTGTTTGTCAAATTCGATTGATTCATTCATAGATTGATAAATTCATTGATTTATTTAATTATTGATAAACTATTAATGGAATTTCGACGGCTATGAATATCTGCAGGCAAACTAAAATCAGGGCTTCGTTATGTCTCAGATGTGTATAAATCATTAATGAAACAATTCACCCCTTTGCAATTTTGAATGATCTGTAGACGGGTTCATATATACTCTTATGGCTAATAAATAGCATCCACTTTGTTGGAAAAGCCCAGTCTTCAAGCATTTTCCAAATCAAAAATAAACATTTGGTCTTAAATTTGTGTCGCACTATATCAAGTCTCAATGAAGAAAATGTCATTATAATGAAAAATGGTATCTTAATGAAAAATATTCTACTTATTTAACAGCAACCAAATAAAACTGACATGCACCAGAATGTCGTAGACTGATGTTAACTAAAAAACACAAATGTTAAAAGATATTTCATATAAATAACAATAAAAGGCGCCATAAAAAGCCATGACACATTTGTCCATAGTTTACACGACGCAAGCACCTGTGATAATATGAAGCCGTCTTCTAACACACAGTTATCTCTGTTTACTGCCGCCATAAAAGACGCACTTGGTGTCATAAACACGCCGACAGCGTCTTCCGTGACTGTCTGAAGTCAATAGTTACATTTTCTCAGTAGGGGCTATAATACTATAAAAACGTTTTTAAAAATCCTCAATGTAAAAAGTAGGTGTCAAACACTTTAAGGTCACAGTTAGGTATCATGTTTATATGTATGTATCTTCCCTGGGATGACGCACCGATTGAATACGGTTACTAATGTTTCCAAATATAAACAAGCTAAAATATGCCAATACTTAACATGGAATGTAAGGGAAAAAGTTTTTTAGGGGGGGGGGGGTTAATACATGTAATTTACATCATAGATCCAATTAATTAAAACTAAAAAAAACACTTAGACAGTTTTAGGAATTAAACGCCCCGAAATAAACACCGCCGTCAGCACCAGAACAGCATACGCCCGCACCCCAGCGGAGGTAAGAGCGGACTGGCCACTACAACCTCTGTCAGCGACAACATACTTTAGGCTCGGGCAGTATCGGTCAATGTCTTTGGGATCTTTCCCTTCTGGTAGCTCGGCACGGTGCCCACAGGTGTTGGCCGTCTTCTTTAAATTGTCCGTGCTGGCCTCATAAGATGCCCTCAGTCTAAACCGATAACCGGATGGACGCGCCCCGTTCGCGTCTTCCTCATACCTCAAGGACCCGAGAACAATCCACTTGCTTTGTTTGTTTAAATATCTGTCTAAAGAGCAGGTTGATCCTATTAGTATTTCTGCTGGAATCTTCAGATTTCCCGTGTTTCCTTCGTTTTTCAACACACAAGACACGTCAAACTTGTAACTGTATACAGTAAACATCATAGCCCGGCTGTTGTTAGCGACGATAGCGTCCGACGCGTTCGCTGTGGAGTTAAGAAACCGGAGGCTGGTGCATCCCGTTCCATTTGGGTAACACCCAATGTTGGCTGCTACTGTCTCATTCCGTATACTGGTTTCCGACACTTGCCCGTACAACACAGAGTCGAGGATGAATATCCCGGCATCAAGGCTGAGAGAATTAATGTCATCCACTGGCAGTATGTTAAAGTCTAATGGAGGGACGCCTTGAATGGTGTCTTTAAACCCACCCCGAAGCCCGCACTCCCCCGCATACAGCGCCCCGTTCGTCATCTCGGCGTTGCTAACACGTGCGCTGCACAGGTACGCTGAAATCAGCAAGAATGCACGCTTGAAGTTGTCAGGTGTGAAAACGCACGCCATCTTGAAAGTGTGGTGTTCGACAATACCTGTGTATGGCATTTCACCTGATGAGTCAGAGCCATTAACGTGACATTGATAGCGTATTCGACCCATTTCTCGCGCATAGTGGCCAAACGCAATTATAAGGCAGCAGCCTGGTGAACAACATATTGAACTAGGAGCAGTTTGGATATTTGCAATAAACTTTTATAGCATGCCTTGTGGTCAACGAACAAAAGGCTCGGAATCGAAGATGTCACATCCCCTATCATTACTGTCACCCAACACGCACCGACCTCACATATCTGCAGTGAAGACTTCCATCTTTCACGGAAATCAAAGATGTGAAATTCCATATGATGTATCATATTGCC